TGAATCATGGGTAAGCCGGGTAACAACCCGACTTCCTGTTTTCAGGAATTCACTGCAGCTCATTTCTCTCCTCCAGCGGATCCTCATCACACCGTGTTCTCCACTATACTCTTATCTCATGACGTGCTACCGTCTCCTCTGATCTCATCCCATTAAAAACGTGTCAGAAACCAGAAGAAGAAAGTGGGCAGGTGTTTTCACGTGTCATTCGCAGAATTTTCACACGAGGCGGGAAATTCTCACTTTCTCAGCGTCCGTTATGGCTTTCTTCTCGAGATGGGTTGATAATTGTGTGTTTGATTGGTGTTACTACTCTGCACTCCTGAGTCGAGAACCACAAGATTTATGCAATTAAGTTGCGATCATAATTCAACATTTCAAGCAGATGTTTCCACAGTCCTGAAGTTTGTATTTATAAAAGAAGGTGAAAATCTTCTACCATAATGAGAGAGCAGGAAACATACTGCTTCTGGCAACAATATCATTTCTGATATAAAGCTGGAACCAGTATATGTCTGGTGGTTTTAGCTTGATGAATGCCTTAAACTGCTGGTTACCAACTTATTGCTTCTTGTCCGCCCTTAAAGGGGCTATTTGTAAGTTTTCTCTGTCGCCGATCTTGGTTTCTTGCCGGGAGTGGGGGGGGGGGGGGGGGATTGTCGCTAGGCAAGAGCTTTGGACAAGATAGAAAGTGACAAGACAGGGTGGTGCTAGCTGGTTAGCATGCTAACTTCAGTAGAAGAAAAGACGTGATAGAGACAAGAGTTAGACAGCTGTTGGTGAGTGAAGGAATGAAGTTTGATAATGAACTCACATCGTTTCCTCTAGACTGGTAAGTAAACAGCTGCCAATGCCAACGTTAGCTATGTAGCAATAGCAAAACCTAATATGTCATAATATGACATAATATCTACAGGTTCAGTCAAAGAGTGATTTCCACATCTTAGAGGAAACATCAATAGTTTTGTCAAGTTTACGTTTTTTTATTTTTTTTATTATCATTGTTATTTTCTACTCCTGGGAACCCTTACTTGGATTTCGTGACCTCTTGGGTGGGAACCACTGACTTGCAATTAATGTTCTGTCAATCAACCAATTAACTGTTTCAGCATTATGTCTTTGGATTTATTCTTATTACAGAAAAAAACTAAAAGATTCTGCAGGACAATGTAGTGGAAGTGGGAGGCAGGACGAGCGACTTCTTTTACATGAGCATCATCTAAAGCCACAAACTACCATTTTCCAACAATCATGCTTCAGTAACAAATGTAGCAGAGCATTTATCAGAGTGTACAGTATATTGTGCTCAGACAGCAGCCCAGTGCTTTATGGCCCCTGAGGGCCTCCATTGTAAATGGGTGACTTTCCATCGCCTATACTTTTAATGTTAACATCAATCATGAGCAGGAGGAGCGAACAGCGATTACTTTAATATGTGGTGTGTTTGTTTTTCTTGCTGCTCCAAAAAGGCTCTAGTGAACTGCAGCATCACTTAATTAAAAGTTGGACAATGGACGGATTGCATGAAGAGAGAGAGAGAGGGAAGGGCTTTTGGTGGAGTACACAGCCTCATTATGTCTAAGCAAGCAAGCCAACACACATCCATACACAAGCAGCAAAAACTTTGAGGATCTGCACAAACACACAGTCTGCCACAAGTACCCTGGCACATGCATACTCCATATTGTATATTCAAAGAGGCAAATCTGTTGCACGGTGCAGGCCGCTGGTGTTTCTTCGTCCTGCCAAGACTCGGTTCCCATGCGGGCCCATATGATGCACAGCAGGAATCTGGCCCCCTCACAACATACACATGGTACTCAGGAGGTCCATAACACCAACACATGCTAGAACAAACCAAGGTGCACACTAGGGGGTGTTCAGAGTGCATACCTGAGCTGCACAATGCTCTCACTTTACTTTGATAAGACTTCGGATTACAGATTCTGTCAGCATCAAGAAAGACACTACGGTACGTTAATAAGAAAGTTAATAAGAAACGTGAAACTGTTGAAATAAATATGAGAAAAAAATCTGTGCATCTGCACTAAACATGAATCCCATGTTCTTTGGCTCATGGCTGAACTTTTCACCAGATTTCCCTGAAATTTGCAAACAAGAATTTGAGGTATCCTGCTAACTCACAAACAGAAAAACACAAACAAAAAAAAAAACAAAACATCTAGCTGGCGGAAATAAAGACACACATACACACACTGGTCTCTGAAACTCAAATTAGCCAAGTGTTGGCTTTTGGACGGTCAGTTCGCCTTGAGAGATGAAACAACCGGCACTTGGGGGGACGGGGGCCTGGCCTCTCAGCTGAGAGGGGATCTCTCAGACCCAATAAGGCATTAAAGCCCAGAGGAACTGCAGGACTTTTGGGGCCGAATGTTTCTGAGCCGTTCTTCCTCATAGCTCCACAGTATCGATTTTTGTAATGACTGGCCCAGCCGCCCCTCTCACGCTCCAGCAGCCATCCATCGCAGCAACACTAACAATTACACAATAATTACTTCCCCTGCTGCTCCTGCAGAGCCGTATGGGACGACTGCCTGCGCCTCTGGGAGTGCTGCACAATTAGCCATTAACCTCTGACACCACCACTAAAATGATGAGTTAAAACCACACAGTATCTGCTACGGTATAATGTCGCAGTTTCTTACTGTGCGTATATTTTTTTTACAACTATTGAGTTTAAATTTAAAAAGGTCCCATATTTCACAGTTTTCCTGTGTTTTATTTGAAGTGTTGATCCATAAGAAGATATATTTGTGGTTTTAAGAACAATAAATCATCTAAATGTAGTTCTCCTTTCTCAGGCTTCTCTCTGGAGCTCTAGTAACAACAGGTCGGTGAGCCAATCAGAAGAGAGGAGGCTCTGAGCCTCTGACTGCTTTGTTGTGACATCACAAAGTTACAGAAGTCTCGACAACTCTTTTCAAGGTGCAGTTTCTGTATACAGGCTGTGTGCATTTCACTGTGGACTGAGCGCTTTGATACTAATACATAATACACAGTATTAATATAGAACCTAGACCTGCTTTATAATCAAACAACACATGGACATCTACCTTTATGCTGTATGGACCTTTAAATATTCTATCCAGTTTTGCTTGTTTGATCTCCTGTCTGTACATCCTTGGACTTTCAAAACTGCATACATGTATAACTACAGTATCCATGGGCACAATATCAAGTGCAGATAAGCTGTCAGTGGATGAAGCTCCATATTCCTCCGCTGCATTGTGACTTTAATTATTTTGAGTCACCTTTGATGCTGACCAGGTGGAAACATCACAACACTCACCAGCTTCAGGACTCCATCAACCACAGATCCAGAGCTACTGCTGAGAGCTGAGGTCTTCATCCTGATGCCCTATTTTATACCCCGTATGTATACATATCCTCGTGCTCTGTCTCTCTGGTTAGACAGACAGCACATCACAGCAGCAGTGTCTCCTGTGCAGGTTGTGTAAGAGGGCCCGCCCACCATGTGTCACCACAACACCTACATACAGGGGCGCTGAGACTCGCGCCGTCTCCTCATGCCTCTGCTCAAGCAGTGACCTGAACATCAGAGGGAAAAATGCCTCATTCAACCCATTCACCTGCCCTAGATAAACAAACATTATGCAATGCTGATAAAAATGTAGCAACTAATGAAACAGACCGGGAAAGTTATGGGAGCACTTTGGCAGAGATACAAAGTAAATGTAGTGAAACCTGGATTAAACACTGCATTTTTAATCTAATTTTAATCTAATTTGTTAGTCAAATCATGTTTTAGGGGTTTCTTTAGTGTTGTCTTAGTATTGTAAATTTCTATTAAGTTTATTATTATTATTACTATTATTGGGCATTTTTATGCCTTTATTTTGACTGGGAAAGTGGAGACAGAAATACAGGAAAGCGAGTTGGGGAGAGACATGCAGTAAAGGGTCCGGCTGACCGGGAGTCGAACCGGGGACATGCTGTCAGGGCTCAGTTTTAATGTACACCTTGTTTAATATATATATTTATATATATGCACACTTTAGAATCCGATTTAAGTAACACACCTCACCTGGTCATTTCAGCTATTTGTTATGTCTAAAACACATGATTTATTTGTGAATACTGTATTAATTTCAGTGTGACTGTTGTTTGATGACCTTGATGTCTGTCTCTCCTGTATACCCCATGTTTTGATATATTTCCAACCATGGTAACAATCGCAGTTCAATCTGTGTATTTGTTGTTGCTGTTCAGCTCAAGTTTCCTCGAGCAAAAAACAAAAAAACAACTCAGATGTTTGACACAGTGAGTTTGAGTCATAACCTTCTCTATCTCCATTTCTCTCACTGTGAAGACCAGCCCACAGAAAGAGAGAGAGAGTGTGTGTGTGTGTGTGTGTGTGCGCGCCCAGTCGGCGGTCCTATCCCATTCAGCTCAGCACGTCCTATCCCATCAACACCAGCAGTAGTCACGGATTACCAGCCGCACTGAAGCTCAAATCCCATCAGGAGGAGGGGAAAGCATCTGAAAGCCAGCTCTACGAGGAGCAGAGTGCGGTACATACAGAGGAATCAGCGTGGGATCACTGCGAGTCTGCGTTGATGATTCTAGTTCAGAATAAAAACGAAGTGAATTATGAGAGACTAATGTTTTCTGTAAAGGCTGAGTGGCAGGTTGTCTGCGGCACAGACTGGACCGGAGCCAGTGGGATCATATTTTCTTGGCACTGGCTGCTGTTGCCATGTTGTCATGTTGTTTTTTTAAAAGAGTGGTCTTCCAGCTGGCTGTAAAGATCCTTTATGAGCCACAGAGCCAAGACATCTGCTTTATTCCTCTTCACTAAACCAAAGAAGCACCGGGATCTAGATTTTGCACCATTCAAAACATCTGACACTTCAGCCACCTGCAAGCACCTGAGGACATTTACTCCTGTGAACACACTGCAGTACGTCGCGCACACACACACACACACACACACACACACTACACACACGCAGACTGACCTGCATCTCCTTGTCTCCATACTTGGAGGGGTGCTTGCTGCCCTGGCTCTTCCTGCGCAGTTTCTTCAGCTCTGCCTGGCACTTCTCCAGACTCTCCCCTTTGCTCTTGTGCTCCATCTGGTACTTTTTCAGTGCAGCCTGAGGGGAACAGTACAAAGTCAGCAGGGACAGGGCAGCACTCGCATGTCTCAGCATCCACAGATGATATTTTACACTGACATATATTCATTTCAAACTGCCCTGACAAGTGGTCAGCTTCTGTTTCACTGTCTGGTGCAGCACGATGACGGGAGAACTGAAGGAGGGTGGTGCTGTGGGACTGTGATGTCTTGGTCATTTATTCTCCTTCTAAAGTTCAGTTTTTCTTTTTTCGTGATTCTGTCCTCTCGATCAATAACAGTTATAACATTTACTTTTTGGGACCCGGGGGGAAGATTTACTTATAGTGCCCTCAAACCCAAAATTGCTCTGGATTTATTGGAGCTTTGATGCCAAAATTTACAGTCCCTGAAAACTGGAAAATTTGGGTCCCAAAAGTTTGACATTTGGTATAATATAATTCTTTTCCCACAAATCCCCAGCCTTGACAGAGCTCGCCTAAATTCCTCAAGTGGAACATGTGCCCCAAACTGTACTGATGGTTATAACCTTGAAAATGTATTACAGCCACGCCATGTCGAAAATGTCTAATGTTTTGGTATAAGGCCACCAAAATTATTATCATTTTTAAATTTATTTATTTATTTTTATTGTTGATGACATCATTAAATGACCTATTCTCATTTAAAATGTGCTTGCTCACAGAGGCTGAAGCCTACCCAGCATGCACTGGGCAAAAGCTACTATAATACTGACATGTCACCAGTCTATCACAGCACTAACACTATGTGTGTGTGCTGCATGTGTTATGTACTATATATGTGACAAACACAACTACGCAAATCAAAATTGAAAACATGAGTTCATTCAGTGCCTCATTTGAATTTGAATACATCATCGTTTCTGAGTGTAACGATCAGAGTGAGCCGTCCACACATGTTGGTACATCCGCTGTCTAGAATGAATAAAATGTCTTTGGGACTGAATCCAAACTGATCACCATAAATTAATTTGTTTAATTTTTAATTTTTTTTTTTTTTTCCTCCAAAACTCATTTTCACAGAATGAGTCATAATTCACAGGCCGGAGTGGGAGAAGTAATTTATGCAACTTGCTGCAGTGGTTTGGATGGAAGCCGGTGGGAAATTAAGGAGAGACTGTGCATTTTGTCTTTGCTGTATTCCCCATAACTTTACTCCCCGGAGACGCCTCGCTGATGTGGAGCAGAGTTAAAAGTGGTGATGCAGTCGAGGACACGCTGGGTCAGGTACACTGTTACATAATGAATCTGTGTATGATGCCACGTGAGTCTGCTTCACTAGTCATGATTATAATTGATGCTCTAAATATTATCTAATATTCAGTTAATAATTCATCTGGTTCTACAGTTTTACTTCTAAACTGAGTTGCAGGCTTCGACAGTGTTTCTGCAGCTGAAACTCATGGGATTTGTGGCATTAAATGTTAAACAAAATCATAATTTTATCTTTGTTTAAGCTGCATTTATTGGGTTTTTTTTTTTTTGTGCCTGAAGGGGGCAGATGAACTCCGCACCAAACAGAGACACACAGCCCTTTAAAGATTAACACCTTAAATTTATCACATCATAACAGATTAAGGACAGCCTATCCACTCTCTTCTTTTTAGCTCTGGTTTGGTCTCCATCAGCTCTGCAGCAGCTAAATGTTCTGCCGAAACCAAAACAATGAGCTAAAAAAGGTTCAGGTAAAAAAAAAAAAAAAAAACTCAGTTGAGTTGATTTGGATTTTCAGTCACTTATTCATTTTATATTACACATAAGCCTGAGGAACAGAGATGATCTTAATAAGAAGGTGGGACTTTGACTGTTATGTAACTGTGCATCATAAAGGGAACCTCACATTCAGGTAGCGTGCGTCCAGCTCGACCTTCTTCTCCAGTTCTGTGAGCAGCTCGTTGTGGAAGGACTTGAGCTGCGAAAAGACACGCACACACACACACACACAACAACAACACACACAAATGCCTCAAAAACAATGCAACAAAACACAATTTAAACTCAAACCTCAAGCTGTTACACACTTAACCGCAGTGGCTTATTTTCATTAAGGAACTCAGCCTTGCAGCGGTGTGGCACATGAATGACTTGGAAGGGACGTACTCGTGTTGCTGTCGGAAATGTCACGCCCAGCAGATTAGCGGAGGATGTCTGGCGTGTAAAACTCATGTCAACGTCAGTCTGTTGTCTCTGTGCGTGTGGAGTATATGTGCTTCTGTGTGCGTGTGTGTGTGTGTGTGTGTGTGTGTGTGTGTGTGTGTGTGTGTGTGTGCAGGTTAAGAGAGCAAAGTTGAACCAGTGGTGAAATAGCACTAAGGAAATTGTGTTTTTACTTATTTTATTCCCACAATGTATACTAAAGCGCCTGTACTGTTAAACTTAGTGACCTCTCATCCTCTTCCTCTTCCTTATCATCTGTGTTGGGAGCCGTAATATTTTCTTAAACTACTATCAGCAGGATATTTGCTGAAAAGGCAGGAACTTAAATTGTAAGGAACACTGGGTTCACTGCCTAGAAATTAAGACACAACTGTCCATGTGTCTCAGTGAAGAGCCAGGTCAGAACAGTTGGGCAACAAGTCATAATATCTAGTGTCATCAATGATGCATTCATCGTCATTCTCTGTCTCTTAAAGAAGAGAGAAGTCAATGTCTAATTTGTAAATTATTGTTGTGCAAGAAACAGCATCATTACCTCGGATCTTTGACGCCCATTACCCAAAGTGGATGAGAGGAGATACCATTTAAAATACGCTTTTGCATAAAAAGATTAAAAAGGTGGACTGCTCCTCACTTCTCAGTTGACTGAACTTTCCCCGCTAATGTCGCCACAACTGGCCAATTTACTCAAATAAAAGATATTTTAGGGAACTAAACTGAAAAATGTTTCCAGTCTGTAATTTACATACGGGTAAACAAACCATACTTAAGTGGAGCTGCTGCCGTCAGAGGATGGAAACACACTCCAGCCTACTCAAACGCAGTTAAGAGTGTGTCTTGCCGAGTATTAAATATTAAAAACATATCCTGTGATGCGAGACTCTAAAGAAACAGGCCCACAATCTGTTTGGCTCCCAACCTCGCAGCTTAAGAAGTGCTGATTTTAGCAACACCACCACCATCACCGCCACATGCTCACCATCTCTTCAAGCTGGATCTGGATCTGTCTGTGCACTTCAGCCATCTGAAAGAGCACCTCCCCTGCAGAGGGACCACAAAGAACAGAAAAAGACAATAAAAAATAAATAAAAAAAAAAATAAAAACAGGGAGGGGAGGAGGGAGAGAGAAAAGAGAGAAAGAGAGCGATATTAAATCTTTCCAATATCTGTGAGAGCTACATACATCGTGCAAAATAAATAAATAAATAAAATAAGACCATGCAGCCACACAGAACAGATGAGAGACAGGTGTGTGGTGTCGAGGGAGGAGGAGGAGGAGGAGGAGGAGACAATGGACAGGATGAAACATCTGTCATGATACTGATGAAGCAGACACATTTCAAAAACAGAGACCAAATCAAAAAGAACATAAATATGCAGCACAGACAGAATGGATGAGAAATCAAAGAGTTAATCGAGAAATCTACTCAATGTTTGAAATACTCAAACAAAACTATTGTTAAATATGAAGGGGTTTCCATTATTACCAACACTACTGCTAATAAACACACAGGAACAGCATGGTAAGAAAATCTTCATGAATCAAGTTAGTTCATCTTCGCATTAAGACATGTGTTTAACTACAACATAACAGGGGGAAAACACCAAAAAGCAGAACCCAAAGGGAAGTCAAAAGCTACAAAAGAAAAAACACAAAAGATAAGTAGAAAGTAAAAGATGATTCATGCAGCCAGGGAGGTGGCGTGTCGTTTTTAAGATACCTACATGCTGCCTCTTCTGAAAATGCAATGCATTGTAAAAAAAGGAACAAAAAGATCTAGTTTGAGCAAAGAACAGAGGGATAGAGACCTGGAGAGACAGTGACAGATCAAACTACCCCAAGAAAAATGAGACACACGACAGAAAAACACTCAGACAGGCAATTAGTCAGAGCCTCCACTTACTTACTTACAAACCATCTACACACTGTGTTGTGTGAATATAAGAGAGCCAGAACAGATACTGGATTTTTTTTTTTTTTTTTCATGCTGATGTTGATCAAGTTGACAAAGATGTGTACTGAGTAGACCCTGAGCAATACACTGATTTATACTGAATATCAGCTAAGTAACAAGAAATCGCAGTGCAGAAATGCAAAGGATTTGTATGAGGTTATTCAAAAAGGTCCTATATTTTACACTTTTCTGTTTTTTTATTTTGAAGATTTGATATCCATAAGAAGATATGTGGTTTTAAGTAAAAAACAACAAAAAAAAAAAGAACAGGTCTGTGAGGCCTCTCCGCTGATTGGCTGACTGTTTTCTGAGTGATCCAGTAAAAATATAGCAGATTTCAGGTAAACACTCAGAGACACCAAATCCTGCAAGGCTGGATGGTGGGTCCAGGTGGGTGGGGCTTGGGGCATGGGGGGGGGGGGGTAATGAACTGTGATGTTGTGACATCACAAAGTTACAGAAGTCCTGACGGCTCATTTTAAGGCTCAGTTTCTCAATAAAGGCTGTGTGCTTTTGTAGTCAGTGTCCCTATTACAGTTTACACTGGAAAACACCCCACACAGTACACATCTTAGTCACAATTCTTTTTGAACAGAATCAATAAAAATGTTTGTCTCATGTCTTTAAATCCAGTATGAGTTGCACTCCAATACTGAAGCTTCACCATCAAAATTAGAGTCATATATTTAAAGTTCATATATAGCTGAATTTCAGGAATGCATTACTATAAATTAAAACTATATAAAAACACAAATGAAACTAAATATATGCAACACTTCATTTAAGAAAATAAGGCTCACTTATACATAAAAACGCACTGTATAAAACATGCTGTATATGCACTGCAATTTATTATTGTATATTTACCCACATATACGTAGGGCCATGCTGATGCAGTATATCTGTGGTAAGGTAATATCAGGACATGTATTTTGATTCAATAAATATAATAAATAGGCCAGAGTAACATATTCTACAGCTGCACCACACGGCACTCTGAGCTAATTTACTCCAAATGTGAACACTAATACGCATTAATGGCACTCATGTGGCTTTTGCATAATGCATGCTGACATCAGATAATGTATATTTGCTGCAGGGCTGATGTGAGGGAGCGCTAGGTGAGGTGTGTGTTGCGTTGGGCGTTGGTGGACCTGTGGACACCGGACAGTGGGACGGTAAGAGGGGACACCGTGGGAGGGGGCTGCCTGAACAGGATTAATGGGCTTAATGGAAGTGCTGCGGTCATGCAGACGAGACTCAGTTGGAGTCGAGGGGGATTTAGGAAAGGTCGAGCAGGAGAGGGAGGGGTGGGTGGTGGGTGGTGGGTAGATATAGTGTGTTTAAGTACAAGTTTGAGGTGGAACTTAACTATAGAGTGTTTCCTCACTGTTGTTTAAGGGCAGTCGCGATGATGTCAAACGTTCCACGGAAACACAGATGTTACACATATACATGAAGGTAAACATTAACATTATTAACTGGTGCACGCCGAACACACACACAAACACAAGACAGCTTTGTCCAGAGTCTAACACAATGCCCCCCCACCCCCCCACTCACCCACCCATCTGCTTATAAAATTGCAGTGACAGCTATAACACTGTAGAAGTGTTTGACTGCCGGGGGGCATTAGGAGCAGTGAAGCAGATAAATGCATTGGTGTGTACTCTCAAACTCTCCTTTGATTCTTGGAGGGGGGCCCAACACACACTCCATCCCATCCATTAATAAACAGCCACTGGCCATCAACAGGCTACGACAACGGGGCTGAACTCGAGCACCTCCATCACACACACACACACACACACACACACGCACACACGCGCACACACAATTACACAGATGTTGATCTCAGCCAGAGGGGTATCAGAAAGCTGCATCTTATAAAAACATATTCCAAGAGTGGGTGGGGTGGGTGGCACTCACAGGATATTACTTCCAAGAACATCGGGGTGGTCGGTTTGTTTCACTTAACTTCCTTTTCCTTTATTTGCTTGGTTGTTAATTACCTCCACCACGGAGGTTATGTTCTCACCCGTGTCTGTTTGTTTCTCAGCAGGATTACGCAAAAACCACTGAACCAATTTGCACCAAACTTGTCGGAAGAAGGCGGGAAGAGCGCATTCAGTTTTGGTGCTGAGCCAATTACAAAAAAAGGGCAGATCCGGGACTTAAAAAAAAAAAAAAAAAAAAAAAAAAAAAAAAATTAAGCGCCTCTGGTTCACTGATGAATATTATTACACGCAAAAGCAGCAGAAAGTGCTTATGGACTGTTTTCACCCTGGGTTTGCCTCTCAGGCTACATGCAAGCTGCCCTAATCCTCCGACCGGAGGAGCTTGTTGAGCGTATATGCAGCCGGAAAGGCACATCTGCATAAACTACCTAGGGCTGAAAAAAAAACAAAACAAAAAAAAACAACAACCTCAGACTCCTATATAATTATGTATAATAATAACATTCCCCTTAAAGAAGCTGCAATTAAACATAAATTACAGAAAAAGTCACATTTTAGTAAGATGCAAATGGAACATTGATTTCTAATGAATTAATGCATTTTAAAAACTGTTACTGCATTCATTTAAATATATTCATTCATTATGGAAAGCACGATAGCCATTTCCATCATGTGTTATTTGCCGAGTTGATACAAAAGTAAATTCATGTAAATGTAAGTAAATTGACTCCACTCCCTCACTCCCTGCCAAAAATAAAGCCTTATATCATCCGTAGGATTAACTCCACGTCACACCACGTTTGCATCCAAAACGCCGAGCTTTGATCATTATTTCTGGCTCAACAGACGTGCTCATCAATAGACTAATTAAGGTTATTCTTCAATGACCCCTTTAGGGAAACAGTCTTCCCTCTTGTTCTCCCTCCTCTGGCGGGTTAGGGTTCAGGCACAGAACAACACTCTGAGCTTCACTGTCTCTTCACCTGACACCTCAGTCAATCTGAGGTCACCCTGCCTCCGGCTCCTGCAGCCAATAAAATATGCTGGTTTTAGTTTTTTTTAATACCTCTACAGGATAAATTCTGTTGATTACAACTTCGATCTTATTTCATTTTATTATTTTCTGATACTGAAGTTTGATGGAGCAAAACACAAGCCGTCTGACTATGATGTTTTCAACAGGTAGTTTCTTTCCACACTAATCTGCAGGTTTAAAACCTGTCTGATCATCTGCCTGCTCGGGTTTTTTAACCTGTTAAACTATGTTGCTGTGTTCCCAAAGCACAGGAATATTAATACTGACAGAAAATAAAAGGCCAAAAATATGAATATAAGACCCAAGTTGTGATAAAGTTGTAGTATGTTAAAGGGAAACTGCTGTAAAGAGCCTACAGGTCTCACAGTGCAGGTCTGTATCAGTACGACCTTAGCAGTATGACTTTGTCCTGCAGGTTTTCATCACCTGGAAGTTTCCCAAATACCTGGATGTTCTTGTTTCATTGCACCCATCTAATCCAAAAACCTCTTCACCTTGCATTGCGAAAAATATTGGACTTCTACACGCCAGAACTAAGCTGCTTACTGATAATCAGAGCAGATCACAACATCTGAAGCTTAGAGGGGAGGAAAGCACATTGTTGTGTGCACCCACAGGTCCGGTGCACAGGTCCAGATCGATTTAAGAAGACACAAATGCTGCTTTTGTCTATGAAAGGCAGTCACAAATCAATACTAAAAAAAAACCGTCCCCACGACTGCAAATTAATCACAAAATGAACTATATTTTCCTCAACTTTCAGAATTCTGACACTCATTAGGGTTCCTGCTTTTTCATGGCACTATCTGAAAATCAAAACAAAAAGGTGGGATTTTAATTGCGTGCAAAGCAATCAAACTAGCAAAATACCAAAGCCAATTAAGCAAAAAGGCACATTATTGTTTGTCTAATACAGGCACACGATCCAACGTTAAGTCTGAGATTCAGAGGTTTTACAGTTCACGTGGGGAGAAAATAAATAAAGCTCCTGAAAAAAACAGCTTCCAAAATACAGCTCACAGAATTAAATTTAAGAATTAGGGCTTTAGGCATCAACCCTGATAAACCAGACTGGGGTAAAGTTCATTCTGA